AAGGGAGAGGAGGCTCCCAGCCCAGGTCCCAGCTCCCAGCCCAGCACCTTGCGCTTTGGCAAGGCTCTAATTACGATATGTGTTTGTAATTAGGTCAGACAGCACTTTAATCGCAGCCAGTGGCTCCAGGGCCTGGTTAACAGAGCCGAGGGCACAGTTACAGGGCCCACTGATGCTTTCCAGTGTAAATGAGTGGGAGCGTCTGCCTTTTGAAAAATACCAGCAATAGTAAAGAAAAAAAAAAGCCATTAAAATTACTGTAATGGACTGACCCAGGTGGTTCAGGGAATTCAGTGCCGTCCGGAGGAGCCAAGGGGGGCTGAGGAAGGCGATGATTTGCTGACGCAGAGCCCTGCATCGCCACAGCCCCTGTTTTGGGGTGGATGGTGTGTTTCAATCCCACTCTCTGCAAAGCTGGCAGCCATGGTGAGGAAGGGCCAGCAGCCCCCCTGTACACATCCCATGTCGCTGTTCCTGGCGTGCTGACCCAAACTTTGGCATTTTCGTGGATGACTGTTGTTAAGGCAGAGCTATAGGATAAACTGTGCCTGGTGCCTGGGCGGCCAGTAACAGAGTTTAGAGGCAGGATGCTTTCACTTTCCTATTTAATTGCTTTTTTGGAGTGGAGGTGTTTGCATAAAAATCCACTCTTGCTTTTTTAAAAGCTCATTAGAGGCTCAGTTCCTAATTAACGTAATTCCCTTTGATGTACACAGACGTTTTGTAGGTGTCCCTTGCGCTGTCTGCAGGGCTTGAATCGGAGCAGATAGACAAGCAACACTTCTCGGTACAAGCCCTAATTTTTTAATTATGAGCATGATCTGGAAAGTGTAACGAGGAAGCAGAACTGACATTTAAAGGAGCAGCATCAGCGTGAAGTGATGATGGATTGACTTTGGCCTGGGCCAGATTTCGGGTGTCCTCTCTGCTTGATGACAGTTTAATCTCGTTTCCTTTCCGGCCCTGCCGCTGCACTGCAGAATCTGCAGGAAACAGCGGTGCACGAAGCTGCAGGCGCTGCACTTGCTCCTGCTCTGTCTCACACCCCTGCGGGTGGTTTCTGCCTCCTGGCAAGGCTCTGGATGCGCAGCCTGGTCTCACTCCCACGTCTGGACTGGTTCTGGGCTGGGAGTGTTTGATTTTGGGAGCTGGGAGTATGTGTGCGGTGCCAGTGTCCCCTAGGGACTGGAGATGGGATAATCGGTGCTTTCTGGTGGCAGCCAGTGACTCCTCTTGTGCTGTCGTAGGGAAATGCTGCTTCCTGCCAGCCTTCTCCAGTATTTTGGCAGAGGAAAGGAGCTGTAGGTCCAGGGGGCTCAGCCACCCACCTGCACCCAGACTCGGGCAGCCCTGTCCACCTTCCTTGCAGGGTGGGGGTCTGTGACCTGTGTGTGACTGAGCTGCACTGGTTTTGGGACCTGTGTGTGACCGGGCTGCACTGGTTTTGTTGCAGTTACTTGAAACCAGATGAGGACAAGAAATCAAAGCATAAGACGGCAGTGAAGAAGAAGACGCTGAACCCTGAGTTCAATGAGGTGGGCTTTCACCGGTCGCGGTTCTCTCCTAGGGGTTTTTCTCAGCCTTAAAAGGGTTAAAAAACCAAACCTCAGTCAATAGGTGAGGGGTGGAGGTTGAGTTTCCCATGCGTGGTAAAGGGCAGCAGCCCGAGGAGGAGGATGGACAGCCCTAGCCCCTTCCCGGGGTCCTACACCGAACCTGGCCCAGGTTGGTCCTGACTCTGTCTCGCTCCCCAACAGGAGTTTTGCTATGAGATAAAGCACGGTGACCTGGCAAAAAAGACCTTGGAAGTCACAGTGTGGGACTACGACATTGGGAAATCGAACGATTTCATAGGTGAGTGGGGCACTCCAGGTCGTCTCTGCGGCCTCTTTTTTTTTTATCTTCACCTTCTGTGCCTCTTCTTTTTTCATCTGCTGCTCCTCTGCACTGCCTCATCCTCTCAGTTTGTTCTCCATCCCTACATTCCCTCTTGCTGGCTTTCTGTTCTGCTTTTATCCCTCCGCTGCCCCTGAGCCTCCTCTCCTGCTGCCATCCCTGCTGCTCCTCGCCTCAGTCATCTCCCATGCAAGGAGCACCCAAGCAGAAGATGGGTCTCCCTCACCCCTTCTGTTTTCAGATCTTTTAATCTGAATAAAAAAGAGGTTTAACAGGGAGGTTTCATTTATCTCTGTTGGATGTCTAAGCATGTTTTGATTTTGTTACTGGTCGCTGTGATTTATTGCCAACAAGTGCCCGGTACCTCTGACTGCTGCTGCTGCTGCAGCTGCAGAGTATCCAGCCCTTGGCACAGAAACATCCATCCCTCGGCATCCCTCAGAGGGCAGATGCTCACCCGATCTCTCTCTGTCTATCCAGGTGGAGTTGTGTTAGGAATTAACGCCAAAGGTGAGCGGCTGAAGCACTGGTTCGACTGCCTGAAGAACAAGGACAAGAAAATTGAGCGCTGGCACACGCTAACGAACGAGCTGCCAGGGGCCGTCCTCAGCGACTGAGCGCCACGGGGCTGCTCCGCAGGCAGGCACAGCTCTGCCGGCCACAGCCTTTGGACTTCTCTCGTTTACGGCTTTGGATCCAGGGGATCGTGGTGGCAGGAGAGCGGGACAGCCACGGCCAGGGAAGCCCTTCCAGGGACCGAGGCAGCAGCGCTTTGCTCTGCTCAGCAGGTCCTGTCCCCTGGGGCTTTCCCAAAACGCCGCTGTGTGCCCCGACACACTCACACACACACTCACGAGCGTGCACACACAATGCGCACGGACACCACACGCCTGCATGCACTGCAGTTCTGACTCCTCGCCTGACTCTGCCACACTGAATTACCTTCTCGCTGCCTTGCAATTCAGTGGCAAAAATGAATGCATCCGTCTCCGTGCGTGTATCCAATATGAGCAAAAGGCGTCACTACAACCTGGGACTATTTTCTCAAGGCGATTGTGCCATATTTCTGGTGGTTTGTCAGTCTCTGTGGTTTGGGCCTAAACAGTCTTTTATGCATTTAAAGCTCCTCCGTCGGAATGATTGTGTCCCCTGTTAACCTGGGAAGAGTGGTTGTTTTTCCTCCAGAAGTGTTGTGTGTGTCCTCTCCGATAACCCAGGATAACCACGGCTTCCCTCTTGCAGCCTCCGGCATCGAGCAGCTTCACATTTGCAGAAGTAGGGGACAAAAGAGAAATAAATGAAAAATAAAAAGCTCGGTGAAGCTGCCGACCGTTCCTGCTTCCTGGGACTGGCAGCTCTCCTAATGAAACCATGCCTTCCCGCCTGGAGCCACGCTGCCAGGCTTCAGCACGGCTATTTTTCCAGCAAAGCCAGCTTTCAGGCTTAATTTTTTTTCTATTACTTTTGCCTTCTTCATCCTTTTTTCCAGCTCATGCCATTACCCAAATCCCAACCAAGGCATTTGACACTGTGGAGCTGAGCCAGCATCACGTTTGCGAAGATGCAGGGCTGTGATGTGGCCTTGAAGTTGGTCCATTTTCTGCCTCAGACAATGTCCAAACCAAATTTCTGTGTACAGCACAGTAATAATATATTATAAAATAATATATTAATAATAATCCTAGCTCTTTTCCTCTGTGACCCACCCTGGTTGGTTTCTGCATCCTCATCCCACCAGGTGCCAGCACTTGTGCAAGCACGACAAAAAAAAAATACTCTGCAAAATGCTGCAGCTTTGCAGAAACTTTTAAAGCCTTTAAATCATGATTTCTTAGGAAGAGCTGCTGTTTCCCTATCAGTTTCAGTTCCCTTCTGAGCCCCGTAGCTGTCTGTGCATGCATGTGCATGGCTCCTTTCTTCTTTTTTCCATTTTTTTTTTGGAAAGCAATCAGGTCTCTGGAAACCTGCGTTTACTTTTCGAAGTGACGATCGTGTTTGATACAGGGTGTGGGCAGGTGCTGGGGGGGGGACGACAACGTTCATAGGGGCTTTTTTAATAACTTAATATTTGTAATGCATTCTCCAGATATGCATGGGTTTTATTTGAATGCCGGAAGCGTGTCAAGTCAGGTGTTCCCAGTAATTCACTCTGTCCTTCCCTGGTCCAGCACCTTAAAAACCCCGCTTGGGTCTGAGCTTCCAGGAGAGCTACGGCTCTGCCTCCCTTTTCTTGCAAAAGTAACTTTCAACCCATCATTTGTTTCAGCCCCTCCTGCTATGAATGTGGTTTATGCCTGCGGTGGAGTAGGACACGATGTGTGTGTTTGCGCGTGTGTGGGTTCCTTCACTTTGTATCCCGGTCTTTTCTAAGCGGATCGATGGTCTGTCCATCCGTCCCAGCTGCATGCAGAGTGGTGGTCGTCCATGCCAGGCCTTGTGAAATGTTTGATACCGATGTTTTGCTACCATGTGAAGGCTGCAGAAACTGTCCTTACCTGCATCCTAAAAGACTTTTGTATTTCAGTATTATCTATCTGTGTACTTTTTGTCAGATTTGTTAATATTTATAATGAGAAACCAAAATAAAAAAAAATAAAATAAATAAAATAAATAAATAAGTCGATGCCAGCAGTGCAGATTTTGATTCTCCCCAGGTCGGTACCATGGTCCTGGGGGCGTGCGAGCTTGATGTGTCACAGCCCATCTCCGCAGCACCAACTGCCCCAGCAAGGTGAGGTGAAGAGCCGGGGCACGGCAAAGGCTCGGGGAGAAGA